TACACCAGGTGAGCCGGAGAGCTGCCCTTGCCCTGCCCGGCCTCAGGGTTTCCGTTGCCCTCTGCCCTCTCCAGCCTCCCCCGGGCCCAAAGGTGACCGGCCTCTGCGGCTTCCTTTCCCCCCGTCCCTCCCCAGGAGCGAAGAGAAGTGCCTGGTGAGGAGCGGCCTGGTGCAGCTGATGGACCGCCTGTGCAGCCTGAGCAGCCAGACCGAGTCCAGCTCCAGCGAGAAGCAGACCAAGAAGCAGAAGGTAGCCATCATGGCTTGGGCCGCTTTCCAGGTGCTGGCCAATCGTTGCGTCGAGTGGGAGAAGGAGGAAGGTAGGAGCTCTGCTGGCCCTGCAGGAAGAGCGAGGAGGCTGCATGGGGAGTCCAGGGGGAGGGGGGGGAGGGCCCCTTTTCCCTGCTCTCATCGGGGCCGACCCTTTTGCAGGGGGATCCACCGAGGCCGTGCATTCGGGCCTCGCTCGCCAGGTCTCCAGTCTCCTCACCAATCACCTGGCCCGAGCCACCGAGTGCTGTGGCAACCAGGCAGCCGGCAACGATGCCTTGCAAGACGTCCTCAGTCTCCTGAATGACCTTTCCAGGTACCGCGTTTCTCAGCTGTGGCGGCTGGAAGAGGCCGGGACTTCTAACTCCCAGAATTCCGCAGCCAGCTGAGCTACCAGCAGACCAGGGGTTCCCAACCGTGGCAAGTTAAAAGATGTCTGGGCTCCCAGAATTCTCCTGGGGAATCCTGGGAGTTGAAGTCCAGACCTCTTCACGATACCATGGTTGGGAAGCAACGGTCTGTGAGACGGTCTCTGGCTCGAGGGTTAGGGGTCGAATCCTGCTGAGCAGTAGCCCCCACCTTATCAGCCACGGTTCTGCTCTCTGGTCCAGCTGTCCTAAAATGGGACCCTCCCCCCCTCCCTCCCTCCCTTCCTTCCTTCCTTCCTCACTTTTCCTCCTTCTTTCCTTCCTCACTTTTCTTCCTTCTTTCCTTCTTTCCTTCCTTCCCTCCCTCCCTCTATCCCTTTTCCCTCCTTCCTTCCTTCCTTCCTTCCTTCCTTCCTTCCT